TTCATTAAGAAAGCAATTAGCAGATTGCTAAGAGTAAAACCTTTCTGCCATTTGTATTAGCAGAACACCCATCCGTCCCTGTGTTGGGTAGTAACTAATTAAAAGTACACTCTAAAAAATGCTGGGTTAAAATGTAGCCACGTAGCTGAAACAACTTTGCTTCTTTATCTAATTTAATAGATTTTATTTTCCACTATAAATCCATCATCCATCCATCTGTCTCATTTTCAACTACATTACCACCATGTGATTCACAGTGAAACAGAGTGCAGAAATAAGCAATATTGCACATGAACATATCCACAACACTCATGCGACTGTCACTCGCACCACCAGTGAATTTCAACACGTCATTCACTGTATTCGTCTCTCACACTGTATTTAGCCCTATCTGGACAGGTTTTCCCTGAGGACTTTGGTAGTGTTTCGCAGAAGATCCTATTTAATCCAGTCAGAAGTGAACATGTCTGGCTAACTCTTCTCTTTCACTTTTAATTTTGACCTTCATGAAGTGTGTAACTAAAGCTAAATTTAGCGTTGCGCTACCTGTTGCATCTTCATTACAAATGTCAACCTTATTTCTAGTAAACTAACAGTTGGTGGATCTGCTGGCATCTCTTTCGATGTTCAAAAGTAAATCAATAAGGAGAGTCCAATTATGAACTGTTCAGAACGGCTACTTTACAAGTCAAGTATGATGCTTATTTGAATGAATTATATACATAATGCTATAATTATATCACATATGTAAGTCTTGTGTAATGGGTTTTGATCCTGTCCGAATCAAATCACACATGTCCTACAATAATAAATGTGAATTAATCCTATCCAAAGTTTGAAAAATCAATCCTATCCAAAGAGTGCGTATCGGTTTTCAGTAGAATTTACAAGATAGAATGAAAAAAATAAAATAAATGCTCCAGTTTCTGATTTATGAGAAGTCGCTTTTAACCACTTTTACCATGCACTACAAGGATAAGCTTATTTTCTGCAGCCGTACACAAGGTTTTCTTAAGGATCTTTATTGTAAGGAACACAGCTGTGCTCTTTTCTTCCTTAAAATAAAACACTCAGAGAATAAAAGTATCACCCCCACAAGATGTGCTATAAAGTCAAAGCCAGGCACATGCTGCTGCTCAGAGCATTCTTTTGCCACAATGAAAAATTGCAACTGAATTTAATTTGCGCTCACTGATAGATGTGAATGCTTTCTTCCCAAAAGACACCTCTATGAGCAAAGCCACTTAATCAGTCCTTTCTAGCAGATGCTTTTCAATGACAATTAAGGCACATTTTCATTATTCTTCCAGCAGTTTTAATTAATTTCCTGTACAAATTAGTTTATGGCTGTACTAGCACAAAATGGTAAGTTTTAGCTAAATATAACATTGAATGTGACTTGGATTACCTAGATAAGAGCTTACTTAAATATTAATTCAATATGTTTTTGTTCACATTTTGCAGAGCCTTTACTTTGTCCAACATTTATAGAATGTTATACTGAAATCTACTGGCCTGGATGAATATCTAATTCAATCTATATATCTATCTATCTGTCTATCTGTCTGTCGGTCGGTCCCGTCCATCCGTCCATCTATCTATCTATCTATCTATCTATCTGTGTGTCCATCATATACAGTATCTGTCCAACCGTCCATCCATCATCTATCAGTCAATCCATCCATATCAGTTCTTCCATCCGTCCATCCGTCCGTTCGTTCGTTCGTTCGTTCATTCATCCGTTCGTTCGTTCATTCATTCGTTCATTCATTCATTCATTCATTCATTCATTCATTCATTCATTCATTCATCCAACCCCAAGGATTTTAAAATTTGACTTTGTCATTGCAACATTCAAAGTTTGTTTGTTTCAACCTTGCTTTATAACATTTCCTGTCTAATTTCAATTCCTATTCAATTTGCAGGAGCTGAACTAAAATATCCATTAAAAAAATTCAAAAAAAATTAAAATGCTGGGTTAAAAAGGGACAGACCCAGCGGTTGGGTTGTTTTGAACCCAGCTGCTGGGTCAAAACAACCCAATAGCTGGGTTTGTCCCTTTTTAACCCAGCATTTTTTAGAGTGTAGCAACACTACTTACTTCACTTAATTTTCAGTCGCATGGAAATACTGTCGCTCGGCTATTTTTAAATTAGTAGCTTCAGTCTTGGCAGTAACAACCTGTTTTTTTTTTTTTTCACCCAACAAGCAGCTGTTAATCACATTTTGGATTCAGTTGTTTAGTTATAATACTAACAGGCAGTATTATTGTTGTGTTTTTTATATATATATATGTCTATCTGTCTGTCGGTCGGTCCCGTCCATCCGTCCATCTATCTATCTATCTATCTATCTATCTGTGTGTCCATCATATACAGTATCTATCTGTCCAACCATCCATCATCTATCAGTCAATCCATCCATATCAGTTCTTCCATCCGTCCATCCGTCCGTTCGTTCGTTCGTTCATTCATTCATCCGTTCGTTCGTTCGTTCATTCATTCATTCGTTCATTCATTCATTCATTCATTCATTCATCATCCATCATCTATCAGTCAATCCATCCATATCAGTTCTTCCATCCGTCCATCCGTCCGTTCGTTCGTTCGTTCGTTCATTCATCCGTTCGTTCGTTCATTCATTCGTTCATTCATTCATTCATTCATTCATTCATTCATTCATTCATCCAACCCCAAGGATTTTAAAATTTGACTTTGTCATTGCAACATTCAAAGTTTGTTTTCACCAACCTTGCTTTATAACATTTCCTGTCTAATTTCAATTCCTATTCAATTGCAGGAGCTGAACTAAAATATCCATTAAAAAAATTCAAAAAAAATTCAAAAAAAATAAAAATCAATTCAAAAAAATCAATTCAGTTCTGAATGATGCACAACCTTGATAAACATTAACATATTTAACCCTGGTAATGCATTTAACACATTGCTAAAGTGGAATTTACCTTACAGTGTATTACAGTAAATCAGATCATAGGTTCTGTGTTGCCTATTCATTATATTGATATTGATACTTGCATACCTACAGTACAGTCTTATAGTCAGCCTTTCACTTACGGGATAAAAATGCCTAAAGAAACGTGTTCTGGTTCAAAGAGTTCTTGTCCTCTCCAACTGTCCTTTAGTGTGAAAAGAAACATGAACCTTATTTTGATATGTCTGTCTCTATTTGTCTGTTCATTTGGAGGGGGTATTCAAGGTGTTACTCTGAGCTGTCAGTGATACATTGACTTCTTGTGGCATCCTGTCAGAAGGAAGTGTGGCCAGTATCTTTACTGATAATATAGCACAAGTGCCTTTCCAGATCCAGCATAGCCTGTATGGATTGTTAGCTGTTTATGTATAGTAAATGTATTCACCCCTAACATGACATAGGCTTTAATAGAGAAATAGAGTATAATATATATGCATGCCCTAGAAAAACCTATTGACACGCTACTTCAGTCAGAAGGAGCAGCATTGTTGAGATTTGGTTAAAAGGTCACAAGAGAAAAGAAAAAGCTTAAGCAAAAGTGACTGGATGCCTGTTTTAGAATCAGTCGCTGTGCTTTAATGTGCAAGAGGTTTGGCAAGATGGAATTATCCTTGGAATGACCCAGTTTCTCAGAGTTTTACACTATAATTCACTTTTAAAGGGATAGTTCACCCAAAAGTGAAAATTATGTTATCATTTACTCACCTTTATTTAAATTACGATTACACTGGCAGATTATCAACAAAAAAAAAGATTTTTGAGTGGTCCCTTGCACAATACCATGTTATGACCTTAAAGCACTTTTATTATAGTGCATGGTTTGTAAAACATTTTGATGTTTGCACCACATAACCAGCTTCATAAGAACAGTATGGCTTTTCTGACATAGTAAACTTGCTTGGTAGTCAATATATAACAGCTCAAAGACTTGTAGAAGCAAGCTAAAATGGCATGGTTGCTTCTCCAAATGTGTTTCTATCTCACATTTGCTGCTAGGGTTAGGGTTAGGGTAGGGTTTAGTGTAAGTGCTACGTAAGAAAATAAATCATACAGGCTTGGAAAGACATAAGGGCAAATACATAGTGACAGAATTTTCACTTTTGGGTTAACTGTCCCTTCAATCATTTTAAAACATTTTTATTATCTGTGCAGAAAGCTAGTCATGTCAGGAATGCCATTCCAAAGCACAGCTAACATTTTATTGTTAATTAATTTCCTTATATATATATATATATTATGCCCATTAATTTCACTGTAGCATTTTGCCCAAGGTCGTGAGATGGATACTAATTCACAGTCTTTCCCAGCACCCAGACTAATTAAACATACCAAACAGCTGCAAATGAGTAGATATCACAATGGGTGTGGATTCTAAACATTACCAAAGACAAATTAGCCTGGTTTGTGCCCACCTCTCCCAGCACAGATTTTGTTTTCACTCGTTCACGTCAAAAAATAATAATTTGTTAGTGTGACCATAGAGTCATCCTCTCTGATATCTCTGTCTTCTTTCATGGATGAGATTTCTGAGGCTCAAAAGAAACACTTTGAATTTTGGATACCCCACAGCTTTGGAAAGTGCACTGGGAATACATGGCCCATAAAGAGTGCAACTTCTGATAGATGAAGCAAAAATTTTCTCTTTTATCATGACAAAGGCATCCTGCAGTGGAATACAGCAGAAGTGTCTCCTGTAATTGTTTGTCATTCTGAAACCTGAAGCATAAGGCAGGTCCATGGAGATGAAGGCCATTGATTGTTGCATTAAACATACAGTAAATAAACAACAGTAAACAGAAACAATATTTAGAGTGAGTCCCAGCAATAAAATCAATGTAGATTGGCACCTAGCAACAAAAACAACATACCTTTATAATAATAAAACAATAGGCTTGATACCTTATTGGATATGCAATTGCACCATAAAAACATTGCAGTGTTAGCGCAACCAAGTGACTAACTATAAATGTAATTAGATTTTCAATTCACAAAACAATGAGGCATCTTACCTGTAGACCAAAGTGTCATCTGCCGAGCTGTTATACTGAATCTGATACATCCTGATTCCAGGGAAATGTTGTTGCGAAGGCCACCTGATGAGTGCAGAATTTGCCGTAAGCTCAGCAAGTACCACCTTCCTCTCCTGAGACCTGGTCTCATTGCTTATGGATGAAGTTGACTTTGCAGAGGTTAGAATATCAGATGGTCCTGGATCAGGTTCTCTGATTCGGTTAGTGCTGTTAGCTAAGTGCGGCAGTGGGTTGACCACCAACTCCACCGTGCCTGTAGACTCCCCCGCGGCATTAGACGCAATGCAGGTGAAGACTCCTGTATCCTTCAATGAAGTGATGTTGATCTCCAAGCTCCCATTGCTAAAACTTAAAGTACGGGAGGTGTTGGCAATTAGACGGCCCTCTGGGGAGATCCAGTGAACATCTGGGTCTGGGTCTCCATTGGCCTTGCATTTCAGACTGGTGGGTTGGCCTTCCATGGCAAAGGTTTTGGGAGATTTCCTTGTAATAACAGGTGGATCACATATGAACTCCTCCTCTGGGATGGTCCAGAAGTACTTTGCCGTAAGGTCGGGAGGTGACGCGCAAGTTTCCAGGTCATCCTCTCTTGTTAGCCTCCTTAGCCAGAGTAGCTCACAGTTACAATGCAGTGGGTTCCCTCCAAAACTTAGGACAAGGGAGGAAAGGGGTGACCCTTTTGACTTGGCATAAACCGGTATCCTAAGGAACAAGGGGTCGGGGGGTATTTTCTTTAGCTTATTGGATGTCATATCCAGACGGGCTAGTTTGTGTAGGTTTGAAAAGACTCCTAGAGGCACGTGCTCTATGAGGTTATGGTCCATGTTAAGAGTGTTCACATTGGTGAGGTGTCCTATAGTCTCCCACGGAATATCCACCAGGTTATTGTATGAGAGATCCAGGTCCTCGAGAGTCCCCAGAAAGTCATCAAACGCATGTGGGGAGATGTTGTGCAGTTGATTGTTGGCAAGGATAAGGTGCCGAAGGTTGGTGAGTCCCCGGAAGTGGTCGTCCATGATGACGCTTAGACGGTTACTGTCTAGATGCAATGCACGCAGCCGCTTAAGATCGGCAAAAGTGTAAGGCATAATCTGACTGATGGTATTGCGGGACAGCGTCAGGTGCAGGAGACTTGACATGTTTGCGAAGTCTCTCCTCCTTAATGCCGTGATGAAGTTTTCGGTGAGACGAAGCTCTACTGTACGCCGGTCAATGACTGTTGGCACAAAAAGCAGGCCGGTCTTGGCACAGAGGATAGTTAGAGATGGTGACAGGTTCTGGCACATGCAACGCTTGGGGCAAAGCTGTCCCGACGCACACACAGCCAGCATCAGCAGGGAGAAGATCAGCCACTCCATCTCTCGGGGGAACTGCAAACAAGCAAACACAGTGTGCCAGTGTAATGACATCTAAATGCACTCTCCACTTGAACGTTCAAAGCCAATGACTTTGAAAAAAACACACTGTCACTGTATTGGATGGATAGCCATAAACAACATCATGCTGTTGACAGTGGCCTAGAGCTAGGACAGTAGTTTGTAAAGTATGTTTAAGTCGCTCTTGGGCTCCATATACAAATCCTCACTCAACCCTCATGTTCCGTTTGTGGTCTTTGAAATTCCAAGTTTCATTTAATACCTTGAAAAATGTACCTTACATTGAAGTATCTGGTTGATACTTCATGACTTTTTCTAGTCTAATTTGAATTGATTATAAGCAAAATGTCAAGGTTCAGCTGTACTGCATAATAAACGTTATATCACTTGGGGTCTTAGAGAGCGCTGATATAAAACATCAATGCAATGATTAATGATAAAAAAACACATTTCAGTCACACTTTATTTGAATGTCAATTTCTCACTATTACGATTTTTGCCTCAATAAACTCCTAATTTGCTGCATATTAATAGTTAGTAAGGTAGTTGGTAAATTTAGGTATTGGATAAGATTAGGGATCTAAAATATGGTCATGCAGAATAAGGCATTACTATGTGCTTTATAAGTACTAATAGACAGCCAATATGTTACTAATTTACATGCTAATAAGCAACTTGTTAATAGTGACAATTGGTCCCTATACTAAAGTGTTACCTACAGTTGTTACTTAGGTACTGCAAAAACACAGAGATACTCACTCTGGGCTTTGACTAGGTCAGAGAGTGATATTAAAAGCATATCATGAAAATGTAGTTATTTAAAAAATGTTTTTTTGTATCACTGTGTATCACAGCATTCTAGATATGCTGATATCAAAAGTAAGAATCCTTGTACCATGGTAACAGCAAAATGTGGCTTTTCCATGTTATGGTTACATGGTAATGTAGAATCAACTCATTATAAGTAAGCTTGTGTGGAGATGATGATGTAAGGTGGCAGACATATGTAACCTCTTGAAACTGCATTAAATATCCTAGTAGACACTGCAACAATACAAATACTGTATGTTTTCCAAAATCAAACTAGAGTCCTCTGAGAAAAATAAAAAAAACATTAAAAAAGAGACCAGTACAAACAATTATTACATACTGTATTCAATTCTGTCTTCTCTTCTCAATCACAATAAAACCAATTCCCATATGACTGATAAGGTTTGTTCTAAAGTATCTGTCCTTCATGAAATGAGTGCATCTCAGCAGGTCTTGAGACTTAAAATATAGATTAATCTTTGTGTATATTAGGATGACATTCAATAGAATTGAAACAACAACATTAGGGATGCAAATCTGACCTGCTTAAACAAAGTTGTGGCAAAGTCTTTGTTTTGCTGAGATGCATCTGACAAACTCTTTAATAGATTTGTAGCTGTTATTGTGTGGTTATGCTATGTCATCATAAAGCTGCCCCTCTGGTTGACAATAGGCCTATTTATGACGTAATTTCTGCTGCTACAGCCATTGGCTTTACAACATAACGATCTACTGTATGTGAGAATCGTTATAAACCATTAAATGTTTTTAGTGTGTGAATTTGGAAAAAGGAATAGTATGAAAAGCCATGACACTGTATGTAATACAATTTTGAAGAATGTGATGTAATGATACCCATGTTTTCTATGTATTTATTTATTTATTTGTTTGTTTGGTTGGTATTTAGAAAGGAACAAAGACTGAATCCATTGTATCCATGGACTAGTAACTTGATAATAGTTGCCTTGAGCGAGCCAAAGGATTTGCATTTCATCATAACACAGCCATGTAAAAAACTACAATGTAAAAAAAAATAAAAAATATGGGAACAAATCAGACAAATACTCTCATAAGGTTTGTTTAAAGACTGCTCTGATCATCAAATTCATAGAAAGTTATCTCTGATGTATCAATCTGATTTGGCATCCGATTAAATGTGAGTTTTTCTGTACCACTGGCGTCACCAAACAGTGTGCTGTTCTTTTGACTTTATTACTGTCTTATACGTGTTTAATTGTTGATGATTTGACATGACTCTGGCTTGTTTTGTTCTTCAAAGCTCATCTCCTAGTCATGTCAGGAATGCCATTCCAAAGCACAGCTAACATTTTATTGTTAATTAATTTCCTTATATATATATATATATTATGCCCATTAATTTCACTGTAGCATTTTGCCCAAGGTCGTGAGATGGATACTAATTCACAGTCTTTCCCAGCACCCAGACTAATTAAACATACCAAACAGCTGCAAATGAGTAGATATCACAATGGGTGTGGATTCTAAACATTACCAAAGACAAATTAGCCTGGTTTGTGCCCACCTCTCCCAGCACAGATTTTGTTTTCACTCGTTCACGTCAAAAAATAATAATTTGTTAGTGTGACCATAGAGTCATCCTCTCTGATATCTCTGTCTTCTTTCATGGATGAGATTTCTGAGGCTCAAAAGAAACACTTTGAATTTTGGATACCCCACAGCTTTGGAAAGTGCACTGGGAATACATGGCCCATAAAGAGTGCAACTTCTGATAGATGAAGCAAAAATTTTCTCTTTTATCATGACAAAGGCATCCTGCAGTGGAATACAGCAGAAGTGTCTCCTGTAATTGTTTGTCATTCTGAAACCTGAAGCATAAGGCAGGTCCATGGAGATGAAGGCCATTGATTGTTGCATTAAACATACAGTAAATAAACAACAGTAAACAGAAACAATATTTAGAGTGAGTCCCAGCAATAAAATCAATGTAGATTGGCACCTAGCAACAAAAACAACATACCTTTATAATAATAAAACAATAGGCTTGATACCTTATTGGATATGCAATTGCACCATAAAAACATTGCAGTGTTAGCGCAACCAAGTGACTAACTATAAATGTAATTAGATTTTCAATTCACAAAACAATGAGGCATCTTACCTGTAGACCAAAGTGTCATCTGCCGAGCTGTTATACTGAATCTGATACATCCTGATTCCAGGGAAATGTTGTTGCGAAGGCCACCTGATGAGTGCAGAATTTGCCGTAAGCTCAGCAAGTACCACCTTCCTCTCCTGAGACCTGGTCTCATTGCTTATGGATGAAGTTGACTTTGCAGAGGTTAGAATATCAGATGGTCCTGGATCAGGTTCTCTGATTCGGTTAGTGCTGTTAGCTAAGTGCGGCAGTGGGTTGACCACCAACTCCACCGTGCCTGTAGACTCCCCCGCGGCATTAGACGCAATGCAGGTGAAGACTCCTGTATCCTTCAATGAAGTGATGTTGATCTCCAAGCTCCCATTGCTAAAACTTAAAGTACGGGAGGTGTTGGCAATTAGACGGCCCTCTGGGGAGATCCAGTGAACATCTGGGTCTGGGTCTCCATTGGCCTTGCATTTCAGACTGGTGGGTTGGCCTTCCATGGCAAAGGTTTTGGGAGATTTCCTTGTAATAACAGGTGGATCACATATGAACTCCTCCTCTGGGATGGTCCAGAAGTACTTTGCCGTAAGGTCGGGAGGTGACGCGCAAGTTTCCAGGTCATCCTCTCTTGTTAGCCTCCTTAGCCAGAGTAGCTCACAGTTACAATGCAGTGGGTTCCCTCCAAAACTTAGGACAAGGGAGGAAAGGGGTGACCCTTTTGACTTGGCATAAACCGGTATCCTAAGGAACAAGGGGTCGGGGGGTATTTTCTTTAGCTTATTGGATGTCATATCCAGACGGGCTAGTTTGTGTAGGTTTGAAAAGACTCCTAGAGGCACGTGCTCTATGAGGTTATGGTCCATGTTAAGAGTGTTCACATTGGTGAGGTGTCCTATAGTCTCCCACGGAATATCCACCAGGTTATTGTATGAGAGATCCAGGTCCTCGAGAGTCCCCAGAAAGTCATCAAACGCATGTGGGGAGATGTTGTGCAGTTGATTGTTGGCAAGGATAAGGTGCCGAAGGTTGGTGAGTCCCCGGAAGTGGTCGTCCATGATGACGCTTAGACGGTTACTGTCTAGATGCAATGCACGCAGCCGCTTAAGATCGGCAAAAGTGTAAGGCATAATCTGACTGATGGTATTGCGGGACAGCGTCAGGTGCAGGAGACTTGACATGTTTGCGAAGTCTCTCCTCCTTAATGCCGTGATGAAGTTTTCGGTGAGACGAAGCTCTACTGTACGCCGGTCAATGACTGTTGGCACAAAAAGCAGGCCGGTCTTGGCACAGAGGATAGTTAGAGATGGTGACAGGTTCTGGCACATGCAACGCTTGGGGCAAAGCTGTCCCGACGCACACACAGCCAGCATCAGCAGGGAGAAGATCAGCCACTCCATCTCTCGGGGGAACTGCAAAACAAGCAAACACAGTGTGCCAGTGTGATGAAAATGCATGTAAATGCACTCTCCACTCTAATGTTCAAAGTCAATGACTTTGTAAAATGCACTGTCACTGTATTGGACGGATAGCCATAAACGACATCATGCAGTTGACAGTGGCCTAGAGTAAGGTCAATATTTTGTAAAGTATTTTAAGTCATTCTTGGGCTCTGTATACAAATCCACACTCATCCCTAATGTTCTGTTTGGGGTCTCTGAGATTCTAAGGTTATTTTAATACCTTAGAAAATGTACCTAACTTTGAAGTAGCTGGTTGACAATTCATGAATTTTTCTAATCTTATGTGAATTGATTATAAACAAAATGTCAAGGTTCAACTGTCCTGCATAACAAATGTTACATCATTTTGGGTCTTAGAGACCCCTGATATAAAACATTAATGCAATGATAAAAAAAATTAAATAAAAACTGCTACAGTTCTTACTGATGTACTGTAAAGACCACAGAGAGATACTCATTCTGAACTTTGACTAGGTCAGAGATTGATGTTAAAAGAATATGATGGAAATATAATAATATATTTTAAAAATTGCTTTTTTTGTGTGTGTCACTGTGTATCACAGCTTACTAGATACTCTGATATCAAAAGTAAGAATCCTTGTACCATATACCATGGTAACAGCAAAATTTGGCTTTTCCATGTTATAGTTGCACAGTAATGTAGAATCGACTCATTATAAGTAAGTTTGTGTGGATATGATGTAAGGTTGCAGAAATATGTAACCTCTTGAAACTGCATTAAATATCCTAGTCCACACTGTAAAAACAGAAATACATCATGTTTTCCCAAAATCAAACTGGAGTCATTTGAGTGCAAACATAGAAATATCAGAGGAAAAAAGAGACCAGTACAAACAATTCTCACATATTCAATTCCATCTTCTGCTCTCAATCACAATAAAATAAATTTCTATGTTACTTACTTTATTACTATTTATTTATTTTATTATTATTATTATTTTTATTATTATTATTATTATTATTATTATTGTGTGATTTTTTTTATTATTATTATTATTTATTTATTTATTTATTATTATTATTATTATTGTGTGATTTATTATTATTGTGTGATTTATTATTATTATTATTATTAGTGTGTGAATGTGGAAAAAAAATGGATATTATTAAATGTCATGCCACTGTCTGTAATACAATTTCAGAATGTGAAAGAAGAATGTGGTGTAATGACACCCAGAGCTGACTGTGATGCTTAGTCTGAGAAGTGTGCAAAAAATGAGATATTTCCTGTAATAAATTGTAAATGACAGACTCAATTATAATACACTGAAGTGTGCAATTATATACACATACATTAGGGATGTGCATCTCATGACTGAGGCCGATACGATACGCATCTCGATGCATAGCCAACGATACGATACATTAACGATACATATGAAGCAGCTACCGATGCGATGCGATGCGATACGATTCACCCCTGTTACGATGTTATTTTTATTATTATTATTATTATTATTATTATTGTGTGATTTTTTTTATTATTATTATTATTCTTAGTGTGTGAATTTGGAAAAAAAATGGATATTATTAAATGTCATGCCACTGTCTGTAATACAATTTCAGAATGTGAAAGAAGAATGTGGTGTAATGACACCCAGAGCTGACTGTGATGCTTAGTCTGAGAAGTGTGCAAAAAATGAGATATTTCCTGTAATAAATTGTAAATGACAGACTCAATTATAATACACTGAAGTGTGCAATTATATACACATACATTAGGGATGTGCATCTCATGACTGAGGCCGATACGATACGCATCTCGATGCATAGCCAACTGATGCAATGGAGAAAATATGATCACTTGTAATGCCTCGAGGCCCGTTTCATAAAACAAGTTTACCATATAAGCCAGGCTTATTTCAGTTAGTCTGACTCATTGTCAAATGATTTGGTGCCATAAAGCAAACTTAACATAGATCAACCTCAGTCACTGTGGCAAATTATGCTGGGAAACTAACCTGGTCTAAAGCAGGTTAACTGTCAGACTACGCTGAGTTCCTCTAACACTGACCAATAGGAACCCAATGATATTGCTACTCTCTCACTTACTATTATTTGACTTTTTTTTTTTTTACAGTTTCTAGCCATGCAGCCTGGTACCTTTTATAGTTTGCAGAACAGATAGCAAAACACTAGAACATTACAATCTAAAATTGTTCTTTAAAGCATTAAAATAACTAAAAAGTTAAAATCACTGAATTAAAAATGAAAATAAGTAATAAATACAATTACTATATTTTAACTGGTATAAGAAACACACATTAACTCATCTGAGCTTAGTAATTAGTACTGTATAGCTCACATTTGATTTACCTATTACAAGTCCCTTCACAGTTACTGCTATCATACAAAATACACTTATATGTAGGTTTAAAATTCTACAAAAGACACATTTAATGTCCAAGAACAAATATTTTAGCAAAATGTATATCTTACTCGGAATTATTGCGCTACTATTCGATTGCGCGCCGTCTGTTTAGCATGCATGCGCGCAGCAGTGCTCGTTCACTCGCGTAAGCCTAGCCCACTCCTGACAGCAAAATGGATATATTTGCGTGACTTTCTGAAATTTACAGATGAAAAATATACCTGTGACATGTCAGTTATGCACTGAGGAAAACACAGCGTCTCAAATGCATTAAACAGCACAGATATATTCGCTGTTTGCGATGGTAGATCGATTTGATCCATGATTGACATTAAGGGCTGCTTAAGAATAAGCGTGCACAAATTAGTGAGATTGTGTGAACATAATTTGTCGTTTATGGAAGCGCTTTAGCCCCGATTGATTTGTTAGGTCAGGTTTTGGACTTTAGATTGATTTATGAACAAAGTAATACTTTTATTCAGAAAAAGCACATTGAATTTAACAAAAGCGACAATGAAGACTATTATGAAGATTTATCATTTTACAAAATATTTATATTTCAATTGCTGATGTTTTGGACTATCCATTAAAAATCCTGAGGGAAAAAAAAAAATCACAAAAATAAAAAAATAAGGAGAACAACTGTTTTCAACATTGATAATAAAAACAGTAAAACAGAAAGGGATTTTTTTGTAAAACTATTTCATATTACTTGTAAATTTTATCAAATAAATAAGAAGGCAAAACAATCTTACTGACCCCACACTTGTCGTGTCTATTAGTGTATATTGTGGTGTAAAGATAATTAAAATGGAATTATGCTGTACACTCTAAAAAATGCTGGGTTATTTCAACCCAACTTTGGGTCAAATTTGGACTAACCCAACTTTTGGGTTAAAAATTTAATGTAAAAATTTAACCCAACGGTTGGGTTAGTCCATATTTGACCCAAACTTGGGTTGAAACAACCCAGCATTTTTTAGAGTGTATAAATTGTTTGTCATGAATCTGACAGACAAGCAGACCAGCTGCAAACTCAATGTTATAAAGAACATTTTCAGGAAGACCGAATAACAGACTCACAGTTGACTCTGCTAATTAAACTAAGATGAAGTATTTAAACATCAAGAAATAACATGTATAACTTAAACTGCAGGTGATTCTTCAGTCATTGAATCAAGCTAAAGCCACATCATATACAGTATATAGGACTTTCCACTGGGAATTAGTGAAAGATTAGTTCATGGCAATATTCAGATACAAACCCAAATATCCTTCAGAACAGTAGCTAATCCTTCTCCTGAAACCTCTCTATCTGTAAGAAGCTTACGTTCAAAGAACGACCGGTGGATAAAACTACCTGAAGTAGAAGGAGAGAGTGACACTCTTCCACTATGACTCTAGTGAGAGGCAGTAAGTGATTTACGGAGTCTTTCTATCATTTTGTGCCTCTGTGACTGACAGAATTCCTAGCCCAGAGAGCTCTGACGCAATGGAGATGGATTACCACATCCATGTCTGCTTTCTACCAGAGTGCCCATGGGCCCTGTGAGGTAAAAGTGTGGTAAATCGATCTGAACTTCCTTTTCCTGGAAGGCAACCTCACAGATCTTTTTTTTTTTTTGCAGATCTCTGACCAGCTGCAGCGGTATGCAAAGCATCTGCATATTAGTTGCAATTACTTTGCTGCAATGCATTGCTGTGCATCATCATGTGACTCAAACCCCTTTGTGCTTCAATCAGTGTCATCCAGTGGAGAGCTCTAGAATGAAGCAATCACAGTAATCATATGCTGCCTTGGGACTTGAGACGTGACCCACAGGGCGGATGTCATACTTGTCTGTCACTCACAGTATGCGCCGAATTACGAACTGAATGAAAGCTACTGTTCTGAGCTTTTCAATTAAAAATTCACAACGGATTTAATTCGGCACAGTGGAGGCCCAGTCGGGTGTCATCAAAGATGGAGACCCCTTTGGGGTGCACCAAATTGGCTTGAGAAACAGAGTAAAAAACATAAAAATACAACTCAGAGACCAGTATAGACACAAACCCTGAGCTTTTTACCCTGGATATCAGCTGTCTCCAGCTCCCATTCATCTCGGGTTAAATCATGCCCATTAGTTCATGTTGCTATGACAATCCAAAACGGAGCGTGCATTTATCACATCCCATTATCAAGCATCGTATCTTAACAGTGGTCCTGTGGTTTGCTACTCAGTATTGAACACTGATCTAAATTATATCAACACAATGACAATCCACAGAAACAAGGATATTTCTAAGCCAAAACAGAGGCTTCAAGTACATAACACATTCAGAAAACAGCAGTTAGCCATTTAAACTGTTTCCAAGGCCTGCGCATCCATTACAATCCTCCTAGTTACTGTAGGCCTCATTTGATTGTAGATGTTCCCTGGTCTATTTAAATAAATAATTAAACCAAACTAGTAGGTACATTTTGCTGAGATTTTTCACTTAAAGGAATAGTTCACCCATCTTCATCGAAAAAGATTAATGGAGAAATTTTAGCATTACATCACTTGCTCACCAATGG